CGAATAAATTTAATATTATTGTTCTATATATTATTATTCGCAATATGGACGCGGCTATCGTGTAATTTATGTCAAAATACATTTTTCTACGATTTCTTTCATGTATATGTGATTTAGAAATTTCTCATATTTGATTTAATATTTTCAGTAAGTCGTAAACTTTATCAACATGTTATCTTGATAATTTCTTTATTTATTTATTTATTTTTTTTTTTAATTTAGTATGCGATTTTAATCGATCAGGAAATGAGTTTCTTAAATTCGCAAATACGATAGCTACGTCCACACGTTTTTAACTGTTACACATTTTTCCTTTTTATTTAAGGAAATATTATATTTACGTGGAAATAAGAAAGAAAAAAAAAACGATATTGTCATTTGATAATTTACAATTATTTATGATTATTTAAGATCTGCTTTCATGGAATTTTTTTCGTATGATTCTCAGTGGCTCTATACGTTGGTGAACTGTATAGCAAAAATGTATTTACTGATTAGAGAAATGATTATTAAAATGGAGTGAAAATGATACGTCGTTTGTATGGCTTATTAGGCGTTCACATGCTTTTTCGTTGCTCTTTCTCAGACATTTTATAACGATGCACATGTAAATTACTTTTCATTTTGTCATAATTTTTTTTTCGTTGCATCATCCCGTTTTCAAAATTTTATGCAAAACAACACACGAAAGGAAAAGATAAAAAAAAAAAAAAAAAATGAGAAGAATCTAAATATTCATTTGTCAGATTTTTCGTATGCACAAACGAGTATAAATAAGTGAATTTTGTTTTTTAATTATAATGATTTGTATTTAAAATTTCCGTTTGTTATTCGATAATCTATTCATAGTGATTCCTTTTAAGTTTTTTTATCTATGTTCTGTATATCTTTCCATAAAATAATCTCTTTTAATATCAAGTAAGCTAATAATTTTAATACGTTCTCATTAGAATCTTTAGATCATCTCCAGACGCGTGTTCTTTTTCTTTTTAAAACTTCGTCGAACAACAACCAATACCAAAAGGATAGGATGGAAAAAGATCGAAAGGCAAGAGAAAAAGGGAATGTGAAAGAAACGATAATCATAAATTTTGCGTTCTTGTAGATTACAGTGATCGAGGAAAAGTCGTATTCATAGATCTCACATTATTACTTTTATACATGTAACATAGGTTTATTGATATGAATTAATTATATGTTATTATTGATCGTATTCGCACAATTTTATTATGTATATGGTTTTACTAACCGATTGTTTAACCAACCGAAAGGATAGTTTTAATAATCATTTTTTATTTTTTTGCAATTGTTGTTTGTCTCTCCTTATGTTTAATTACTTACATACACTACATTTAAATGCATCTTTTATTTCATAAGATAGTTATGACGACTTTGTTGTTACTACAATTTCAAAAATTTGGAATCACTTATTTAGTGGTGAATGTATGCATTTGATTTTAACGAGGATTTTGCAATTTTTAATTTCGTTAAGTATTTTTGTTTATTGCACAATAATTTTTAAAGAGATATTCTTAATTACGTTTCATCACTAACTTTATCCAATTTTTTCTGAAATTAAGGTAGTTAAAAGTTCTATTTTATTTTATTTCTTCTTATTTCTAAATATTCTTTATGTAACTTTGAACTATATTTATGATTCACTATTGATTCATAATTAATTAAAATAATTAATCTGATAATTAGTGTTAATATAATGATCTTCTCTGTTCATTGCCATCTTTACTGTATATTTCTAAATTCTCTAAAGATAGAGCTCTTATAGATTAATAGATTTTCAATTATAGGAAGCAATCTAATTAACTTACCAAAGACAAATAACTTTAAAAGTGATTTCAAATTTTTGAAAAATAGTATACATTATGTCTTCCTTGTTCAAAATCGTCCATCTCCCAAAGAATGATAAAGTTTAAAAAATCAAAACATTTTAATCTCCAATCACACGAATTTTACGTGAATTTAATGCAATTCAAACTTCAAGAACACCACATTTGCTTATTATTCTACACTAACATCGACACCTTTCCATTCAAAAGATTTTTTTAGAAATTTTTCCCTTTTTATTTTTATGTTACGTAATATTTGTTGTGAAAAAGGAAACATAAACAATGCAAAGGAGTCGTTATCTATGATCAAACTAGTTTTTAGATCGATATCAGATCAGAATGATTTGTCAATGATTTTTTAATTACGGTGCAATCGAATTGGCTGTTTTCTCGAGTCCTTTTGAAAGGCTCATCTATGTATCTTGTTAATTTTTAATTCATGTAATATGAATAAAACATACGTAAGTATATACGAATTCACACGATCGTGGGACAACTCCAAAAGCAAGCAGTGACGAGCAATGCCATTCGTTGCCAAAACGGGTGTCATTTCGTTAATTTCCATTCTGGTCAGGAAAGACGATGAACGATATTTGTCCTCGTTCTTCCGTGAAGAAATCGACTGACCACCGGTCAAATGTTTCGGGTATTAACATAAGTTATCAATTATTTCGCTACGTTTACGATTTTCCATCTTAAAGTTGATTTTTGAAGCTGAAGAAACGAGTCGTT